CCTGTATAAAAACAATAATAACATAAAATGCGTAAATAAATGTTTCAATCCACGGACGGGCAGTGCCTGTACATGGATTGTATGCTGGAATGTGTTCTAAAATCAAAACAGAAGAGTTAAAAGAAACTTGATGAAAAAGGAATATTCGTTAGGAATTCAATAAGTTGCGCGTATCCATTTTGATAATTTCTTTTTAAATTTATGTGTATTTCGAAATTGTTTTGAGTCTTTGGGTGCGTTTTCATTTAATTTCGGTGCCAAATAGAGCAACGATCGCTTCATTATGGTCTTGTGAGGTTTAGGGACAGTTTTTGCGAATATGATGGTAATGTGTTTTTTAATTGCACTCATTAACAACTTTGTGATAATGGCTAATAACGTTGCTTGATATCAAATAATTTTGTTTCGTTATATAAATCATTTGTTGAATATAATTTTGCTTTTTCCATAGTTTCGAAAACAGTTTTCTGTAAAAGTGTAATCGAAGATCCAATAAAATAGCTTTGTCAAGATCTAAATGGATTTCATCCAATAAGACTTCGAGTTTTGTCCTTTAGGTAGTTTTATACCCAGCAGCATATCGAGAGGATCTGTAAAAATGAATTCCAGAGTCTGTAAGGCAGATCAGCTTACGGAAATTGTATATTTCCGCAAGTACGCATAAATAACTAGAATATTTCCTATCATAAAAGATTTCATCGTTACTAAATTGCAACTTCGCCATTTTTTAATTTGTTTTCTCTTTCCTGAAGTAATTGAAGGTATAGTCAACGCCAAACAAAGTGGCGTGCACGTCATCACGATAAAAATTCCCCGACCTAATGCCTAGGTTTCTATCACAAACAATTGCTCTATTGCAGTTTCATATTAATGTGATATATAAATTGTAAAATGGTCATTACTCTCTTATTATGGTTAATAGTCATATAAACATTGTTATTAAAATATCACATAAGTTGCTTTCTGATAAATTTAGACGCATTATGCGAAATAAAATGTTTTGCAAACGCTCCAATCACTTATCGACATGTAAACGCACTAAACCGATTTCGCAGCGTTGACACATTGTCACCTTGAAACTTATTTAAACTGGGAACTGACATTTGTATTAATTTTGACACTGAATCAATTTGTGGCATTTCAAATCTTTATAAATCCTTTGGCCCCGCATACTGTAAATCAACAACTGTTTGTTTCAAAACAAAACTATTCATTTTACGAGTAGATAAAGGCAATTTTGGTATATAAAGATGCCCAAACAGTTAAATAGTCGGTGTAAGGAACTCGTGGCCTCGTTAATGCACTACTTTGAGCAAGAAAGGGACAACAACGGGCCTTTGTTGCCTTTAAATGCTGTTCAAGAGGTAGGTTACTAATAATTATATGTAATGTATATTAATAATAGTGAAATTTTATTTCATTTTTTGTAGCGTGTTGCTGCTGCTTTAAAAATTAGTTTAAGGACAGTTAGTCGTATTTCCGAGGGTGTGAAAAGTGATGCAAATTTAGAATCGCCCAAGAAAAAGCGGAGTTATATTAAACGTGTAACCAACACAGCGACATTGGATACAAGTGCCATTCGAGAAGTGATCTATAATATGTATCACAAAAGTAAGATCTTATTATAATAACTTATCAGAAATTTGCATTGATTTGTTAACTAAATTATAATGTCATATTACACATGGTTTCAGAAGAACAAGTTACGATACAAACTTTATGGTCTCGATTAAGAGATAGGGCATTATTTGATGGTAGTGCCACGTCTTTAAGGCGGTTGCTTAGAGATCTTGGATTTAAGTGGCTTAAGGACAATCCGCGACGAGGGCTCATGGAACTACCAAGTATAGCTTTGGAAAGGGTGGAATTTCTAAGGCAATACAATCAAGCCAAGGTTGAGGCCTTATACCAGTTTGTCTTCCTCGATGAAACTTGGATATTTCAAAATGGGACCATAGGTCGCTCTTGGCAAAATGGAAACCAAAAAAGCGTGAAAGCTATTAAAACAGATGGTATGTACTTTTACACAATTTGCACTATAAAATTTAAAACTAATATATTTTAGATACATTATATTACATGCTGGAAATGAAAATGGGTTTATTGAGGGTAGTGAAGCGATATTTTCTTCGAAAACAAAATTGAGCGATTACCATGGAGAGATGAACCAGGACAATTTTTTGAAATGGTTTCAACATCAGTTATTAGAAAAATTGGAGAGTCCATCTATGATTATACTGGATAACGCCCCTTATCACAGCATGATATTGAACAAAGTGCCCAACAATGCATGGACAAAAAAAAATATCCAAGACTGGTTGACAAATCAAAACATACCATTTTTAAACACAATGTTTAAAACAGAGCTATTGAGTATTGTTGCTCGGTACATAATGCTTCTTAATTATATATATTTTGGTCGACAGTTTATATTTATTTTGTTTATTCCTATTCTTAAAATAACTGCTTTTTTAGAAACAGAAACAGAAAAAGCTTACACCAGTAGCTTAGCTAATTTTAGAATGCATTTTTCTGTATGAATTCTGTAAAATAAATACCATGCATAAAATTTGGATTTTTATTCAGTACCTTTAAGCTATCAATTAAATATGGTAGTTTCATAGTGTCATCTGATCAATAATTGTCATACTTAATGATTATGCAAGTACAGATCTATAATTTTATTATACTATTATTTTTGTTCTCATTTGAGGTTAATATTGCTTATAAACCTAGATATGTAAATAATAAATTTTATTATTTTACAAAAAGTTTGGCAACAATGTAAATTTTTCAACACACCCACCTTGATGACGTGCACGCCACTTTGTTTGGCGTTGACTATAGCTTCAGTATACAATGATATCGTATTCTTGAGATAAAAGTACAATAAATAAAAATGAGATTCTTAACTATCTGGGGCTTATAATGTGGTTTAAATGTCGATAATTCCCCAGGTTTGTCTAGCCAATGAAACCACTCATATTTAAAATTCTTCTTTTTTTTCAGTCACAACAGTGACGACCTGCATGACACTTTTTTGGCAATATTTTACTTACCTGCCTTCCAGGCGACAATTGACGTGACGTTTATTTTCAGATTATAATGTATCGGTGTGTTACGACAACAGTTCTGGGTGGGGTTTCCTGGACGGCTTTAGGCGTTTTCGGGACGATGGACAAGGGTGACGTATTTGGTACATCAAAAAATCGACAGATGACCTAATGCTCGCTTGTCGCTTTAAGGAGCGAGACATCCTTTTGGGAGCGGGAATGCCTATTCCAGGCGATGCTGATTTTACGTGGTGCCCTCTTAAAATTTGGAAGGATGGCCTGTTACGGACCTTTAAGGCCATTGTAGTAATACACTATGTAAAAATCTGAACAAAAATGTTGTCAAAGGTATCATGTTCTGAAGAGGGTCACCGTTGTGACCAAAACATGAAAAATTTCAAATATGGTAAGCCTGCCTGTCTCAGGTACTATTTCTATTATATATGTTACCGGACAAACCCGATTTTAGGATAAACTAGTTTTTCCTAGGCCAAACCAGTTTATCCGAAGAGCGATAGGATGAACTAGTTTATCCTAGCCTAAACTGGTTTTTCCTGAAATAAGTTAATTATGATTAGGAAAAACTGATTTGTCCTAGTCTAAACTATTTCAACCCGCGATTTAACTAGTCTGAACTCGTCTGAACCTTGGTTTGGCTCGCCGGCGCCGATCGCAAGGATTTAGTTTGCACGCGTACGTTGACTGTTATGGAGCGTTCGTCTTATTGCAAAATCGTTGCGTATTGTGCGTGTTGTCCATAAGCTAAACATTCTGAAACATTTCGTGATTGTTTATGTATCTAAAGTTCGCAGAGTATTTCTGTATCTCATTAACATGGATGAGGCTTCATCAAGTGGGCACGTAGGTCAAAAAGAGTGGAGGCAGAGATTCTTGGTAGAGGTTTTAAGATCTGAGGACGAAAAATCAACTCATTTTAATGTTTTGACAAAGGAAAAGTATTTGGCACTTATCCAACAAGTGGAAGAGGCTAAAAAAACGGAAAATAAATCACCCTGGCAACAAAGAAGATTGAAAAGATTTGATGTGGTGGAAATCGGAGGTGTAAAGAAACTTACCGCACGAAATGAAGGAAATACAAATAATATAAAGTATTATCTCACCGCTGATGAGTTATATGACGTTATTGATGCAGCTCACATAGCAGTGGGACATGGTGGTCGCGACAGAATGTTGGCTGAAACTTCTAAAAAGTTTGCGAATATCACAAAAGAAATGACATGTCTTTTTTTATCTATGTGCATGGTCTGTCAACAAAAAAAGACGAAAAAAAGAAAGGATTAGTCTCCAAACCGATTTTGCACACCGAAATGAATAGCCGATGCCAAGTCGATCTTATTGACTTCCAGACACAACCAGATGGAAAGTTTAAATTTATATTGGTGTATCAGGACCACCTAACAAAATTTGTCCTGCTTCGTCCATTGGAAAGCAAGAGAGCAGAAGAGGTAGCCTACCATTTAAATGATATATTTTTAACTTTCGGGGCCCCATGCATTCTACAATCTGACAATGGCCGAGAATTTGTGAATCGTGTAATTTTAGAAGTGACAAGCTTATGGCCAGAGCTCAAAATCGTGCATGGAAAACCACGACATAGTCAAAGTCAGGGGATCAGTCGAAAGAGCAAACCAAGATATTGAAAACATGCTGAGTGCTTGGATGAATGACAGCGAGACAACTAAATGGTCAGAAGGACTAAGGTACATACAGTTTATGAAAAATCGGGCATTTCATTCTGGAATTAAACAATCGCCTTATAAGGCCATGTTTGGTGCGGAACCCAAGGTTGGCCTCTCTACTAGTTCATTACCTTCGGAACTGCTAAAGGACATTGAAGACGAAGATGATCTTCAAAAACTGATTGATGGGAAAAACATAGATGGACATGAAAATGAAGGCAGTTATGGATACGAAGATACGGATGGAGACGAAGATAAGAATGGAGACGATGAAATGGATGAACGTTATTGGAGTTGTGCTTGAAGCATCTGATGACGGATTTTATAAGATTGGGACCAAGCATGGTATCCTACAAAAATTATATTGCAGGTAATTATTCATTTTGCTACGGTTTTTATTTGATTTAAATTGAATATTTTCATTTCAGAAATGAATTTTATATCTGCACACAAAAGTTTTTATTGGAAGAAGAAGTAAACAAGAACAATGAAATTTCGTTAAGAACTGCAGCGATAAAACATTCAGTTGGAACAGGCCAAGGTTTCTTTAAGTGTAGTTGCACCAAGAAGTGTATGTCGAATCGATGTCTTTGCAAGAAAAATAACGTTCTCTGCAACTCGAAATGCCATAATAGTTTGACATGTAATAACAAGTAAATAATAAAAATTACTAAACATGTTTGTAATATGTAATGGTGTTTTCTTTAATTACTAGTAAAAACGTTAATTTTGTCAAAAGACTGTATGTAGACTAGGACAAAACAGTTTTTCCTAATCATAATTAACCTATTTCAGGAAAAACCAGTTTAGGCTAGGATAAACTAGTTCATCCTATCGCTCTTCGGATAGACTGGTTTGGCCTAGGAAAAACTAGTTTATCCTAAAATCGGGTTTGTCCGGTAACATATATATTTCCTATTATTGTCACTTTTTATTATTCTTCCAGATAATAAGATATCAGCAGAGTAATTTGCTTTCAGATTTCATTCGCGTACGTCTGACAATATAGCTTATACCTCTCGTGTAGCCAATTCGGGGCTTTGTACAGTGACTGAAAGGTCCTGTTTCGCGGCAAACATTTTCGAGGTGAGTAAAACGCTAAAACTAAAACCAATTTTTGACGTTACACCATTTGAGCACTAAATAATTCGATTTGAACTTAATGTTCACTATTTCAATGGTTTATAGTTAGTAGGTGTATAGTGAAGATTTTTTGCAAAAAATGGGGCGCCACAAGGTAATATCAAAAACTATAATTTCAAAATAGTTTTTATTGTTTGGAAAAACTGTACCTCCTATTCTTTGCATAAACTAAGTTTTCAAACTGTTGTTTAAAATATGTAGAGAACATAGATGTTTCAAGAGTTTTTTTGCGAACTTCCATTGTCTCTACAATTTTGAGATCACAAGGTTTCGATTGACAAGTTATCTTCAATCGTCCCCAGCTCACCTTCAAAACTTTGCGATCTCAAAAAATGTATAGACAATGTTCTGAAATAAAACTTTCAAATCTTTAAAGTTTTGACTGATTTTTGTAATCTCATTTACTCGATGAAAAGTTAATAGCTTTTCAAACGCTCAGAGTAGTTAGGAAGAGGAGTTTAGTATATACAAATAGGTGCCAATTTTTTACTTTCACTCAATTTCCATAAAAATGATGTGAAAAATCTCCATTTTCATTATGAATTCAACGCTCAAGGAACATAACATCATAGTTTTGATCTATGATATCGTATGTTGTGCCCTATAAGACAGCGACCAAGTGTAGGAAAACTCTTAAAGTGCCATAACCTGGTAGTTTACCCTACGTGGTATCATTTACCAAACAAACATGGAGGATTATTGAAGTTCCTTCTTCCACAAAATATCTTCATACTTGCAGAAAGAAAACTGTTATTTGAAGGTTGCATAGCTGAACTTTGTCACGGTATCTGATTATTTATACTCCATGAATCATTGGTAGTCGCAATTGTTACATCGCCAAAAAACGGTACAAGACCTCTAGCCAGCTGTTCGCGTGGCAGCGGCGTTTATACACATAACAAATATACCGTATCATTTGTGGAATATACCTGATAGGCGCGTAAATACTGGGATTGAAAGGTTATAAATGTACTACGAGCCCCTTCCCACTTCAGTTGGCCCACTTCTAGATTTGTATCAAAATATGCCTTTATAAACTAAACATGACGAAACTATTCACTTCTAAAACAATTTATTTTCTCAAAAACATTTTAGATACACCCTAGTTGTAAAAAATACATATTTGAAATCACTTAGACCTATAACTAATAGAACATCTGAACAAATAAGCAATGTGCGAATAAATGCGCGAAGTTGACAAAGCAACAATTGAAAGATTACTATTGGGTAACATCACCTTTATTTGTTATTACGGCTGAAATTCTTTGGGGCATAGTGTTAACCAAGTTTTGGCAAAAATTTGGTGTAAAACAATCCCATATTTCTTGAAGCTTTTGTCTCAGTTCGGTGATTGTACGAGCAGGATGTTGTCGTAGAACCTTTTTCATCTCGTACCATAAAGTTTCAATAGGTGACAGATCTGGACTGCTAGAAACCCATTTCAAAAGTGGTGCATTATTTTCTTCCATCCATTTTATAGCCTTTTTTGAGGTATGGCACGCTGCACCATCTTGCTGAAATACAAAATCTTGGCCGGATGTCAAACATTCTTCCATCACTGGTAAAAGCGATTCTTCTAGAATTGCCAAATATATGTTTGTATCCACATTTCCATCAATAAAATGAGGTTTTCCTTCTCCTTTTGATGACATACTGCCCCAGACTATAATGGATGCTGGAAATTTCACTTTTCTCTTCAGACAGTCAACATGAAATGCTTCATTTTTTTGCGAATAACTCTACTGCGACTGTCACCAACACAAACTTCGAATCGGGCATCATTACTCCATTGTATTACACACCATTATTGAGGTGTCCATTGTCTATGTTCTTTAGCCCATCTAAGCCGATTTTTCTTTTGCAGTGGAGTTAATAGTGGCTTTTCTTTGACCTATAAACAAGATGTGCAACTTTGGGGTTTTTACCTCACTTTTTTTTATAAGAAAACTTACCTTGCATGTGCTAAATCCCAGTTTGTGGGCATCTCTATGAGTTGTGGACCTCGAAATTCTCCTTCCAACAGCGTCAATTCACAGAGCACTTAATTGTAAATAATTGGCACGCCTGTTTTTCACGATTATTCTTCTTAATGCTCTTCGGTCGGCATTTGTGATATTACTGTTTTTCACATATTGTGGCTTAATATTAACTGAGCCAGTTACGTTATATCTTCTAACAATATTTCTCACACTGTACCGCGATAAGTCTAACAAAGTTGCAGTTTCTGAGTTTGATGTCCCAGAATTAAAAAATTTATTTAATTATCAGTAACCGAATTTTCTCACTAATAACCTTTCCTCTACCCATTTTGAAAACCTTAACCACCCAAAACTATTTTAAACGTATTCTGACAGCTGTAATTAATTAAAACAATTGTCATGGCTTTTATTTTTCACAGCCACCTATGCGTTATAGACTTATATTGCATTGAAATGAAAATATGCTGTAATTGCAGCATGTGTTATTTTTATGCTGCGAATTTGATTAGGGAGTTGGTGTTTTCTACTATATATTATCAAAATATTCATTGATAATATTTTAAACCTATAACACCCTGCTACATTTTTATTATTTGTGTTTGATAAGAAAAAAACTAAGATTTCAATAGTTGGGCCAACTGAAGTGGGAAGGCGCTCGTACTACTCATCAACAAGCCACAAAGGGCCAAGTCAATCTAGCAGATCCGCCCCCCGTATACTGTCTCTCTGATTAAACTTTTATCCCAGAGTAGCATCTACCAGTAAACAATCAGAAGCAGCTTTCTCTGGCAATATCGTGTTTCTAAAACAACAACCAATGTATTATTAGCTGGATAGGAAAACTCCATTACCAACAGTATATTGTCCATGAGCTAGCAGATTACAGACGTTGTTAATTGTTCTCTTAGCAGGATAAACATTGACTGTCTGGTTTGTTTGCTCACAGTCAGAGACGTCCTCCACAATTAAGCGAAGGCTGATATCTGGAGAACTCACGTGTATTAAGGTGTTAGGCTCGGATCACACTGGCGATCAGACAAGCGCACAGTGTGAATATAGGTGGAAAAATGTTTTATGAGCCTATTCTACAGTAAATGTAGCTCCGAATGCCCATATACCCAAATAATGTGTCTAAAATAAACCCATGAGAATCATTTGAAATACTTTTTTTTGTTTTCTGAATAACGTACCTGCCTACATTCATATTAAGTGTATTTCCAGTTGCAGTCTAAAATCAAGGAGTGTCATTGGTTAAATATGGAAAGTAGAAGATATCTTGACTTAAACACATTCACTCATGAACCTTTGAATGACTTCTACTCTTGTGATTCTCTATGCGCTAATTTTTTGGTCCCACTTTTAAATGCTACAACCTTACTTTTTAATGACAGTGTTTATGAGGTGTCTCTGTAACTGTTTTGTTTTTCGAATTTGATTTATATAACATTTACCACAAACTCAAAAATAGCTCAGTACCTTCTTCAAATAAACTCGCACTGATCGCAGCAGCACTTGGAATAACTCTCTTTGTAATCAAATTTTTTAAATGTTTCCCGCCATGCTGCACCCAGATGCGAGATGTCATTTTTCGTACATCGTAAGATAGATAGTTAAGTAACTTCATCAAATACTACGACCTCAGACCTCAGCTGTCTTTCGTGCTTGTAACAAATTCAGCTATCGTATTCCTCATGACGGTGAATCACCCTCTTTGACACTTGTGTATATTTGCGAATGTTTTCCCCTCTACTCTTGACAGTTGATTTATTTGTAGTGCTGCCAAGTTAATAACAGTAAACATGAATAACATGTATTAACACACAAACCTTTAATTTTTTTTTAACACATAGAAATTGAGCCTAGTCTCATTCATTATTTATATGATACAACCAATCTCATGTTTATTTTGTGTATCTAGCTCGATTTTCACCCTCACGACTTTTCGTTGAACAATTTGATGTGGTAGCACTGGACAGTTCTGTAACCGGACAGCTGACCTGATGAAAGGCATACCTGGTTTCACATACAGGGTGACTTTGAAGTTGAGTCATTAATTTTCAGATAATGATTGTAGAAGGAAGATAAACCAAAATATGTGTGTAAAAATAAAAAAAAAATAAAAAAAAAATGTTACCTTGTTTTATAAAGTATCCTCCCGACAAGTATTTCAGTGCGGACCTGTATTTGATCGTGCGGTCTTGGAGCATCGGCATGCCCTCCCCTGTGAGGTCTTAAGTCACCTGATTCACGAGCCCTTTGTAGTACATTAACAAAGGCACGAGGGGTTGGTTGCACTCGATTGGGAAACCGATCCGCATAAATCCGTGATGCCGCGTAAATAAGAATCATGTCCACAAGTTCAGCATTTTCGTAAACATGTGCCATTTTTGATTTCGTTTGAGCCACGCAACAGACACCACTATTCACTCACGCGTTACCGACTGACACTGACTGTATACAACTGAATAAAATAATTGTAGACGTCGTTCCAAATTCTGTCGCTTTTTTGTTTCCGATGCGATGAACCGATAAGGCGGATTATATCCGTTGTTGCCAAACACGAGCA